AATGGTCTTATTAAGCAAAAAACACAGAGCCAGATATAGGGGTGAAAACCTGAGAGATCAGGGAAATAGGGAGAGCCACAGCTAACCTCACCTCACCAACTCCTCAGCTTCCAAAGTCAAGACTTCCTGTCTGCCCACACACATACGCCTTGCTGTTCTGCCATCCGATTTGCTCTCTCTGTCCAGCTACATCACTTCCTCTTCCTGTCCAGCTCTGTCACTTCCTGCCTGTCTCTACAGACCTCCAGACCTCCTTGGTTAACTCGTGTTGGAATTTAAGGCATGTACCACCACACCTGGCCCTGTTTGCAGTGTGGCCTTGAACTCACAGAGATCCAGACAGATCCCTGCCTGGCAAGTGATAGGATTAAATGTGTGTGCTACCATTGCCTGACTTCTATAGTGGCTGGCTTTTTCCTCCGATCTTCAGGTAAATTTTATTGGGAGACACAGTATATTGGGGAACACAATACATCACCGCAGTACTACATACATGTGTGGTGCCCATGGAAGTCAGAAGAGGGTGTTGGATCTCCTAGAACTGGAGTTACAGATGGTTGTGGATCACCGTGTGGGTTCTGGGAACCAAACCTGAGTCCTCTGGAAGAGCATCAGGAGCTCTTAGCTGCTCAGCCATCTCCAGGCCCTGCATAGACAAATATTTTGAAGGCTACCCCATCACTAAACTCAGGAGGATGTGGCTATGAAACAAAGGTCCCTAAATTGGCTTCTAGATGCCTTCCAGAGCAGGGCTACTCCAGAAAGTTTTCAGTGAGAATTGAAATGTACTGTATCTGTACTGTCTACCGTGTATCCAAAGATCGCACAAGACATTTAAATGAACTTATAATCAAATTTCCTGATAGACCATCAAGGCTTGTCATAAGAGCAATAGTAGTAGAGACATTTGGTATTGATACAAAGATACACAGTCCAACTGACAGAATGAAATAGAGTTCAGAAATTAGTCCATTTAGATATGACCACTTGCCTTGTGGAAACTCCAAGTGAGGATGTGATCTTTTAAATGAAACGCACCAGAACAGTTGGCTACCCACACAAAGAAATGGTATGTGGGCACCTCCACCTCCCACTATCTTAACCGGGTTTTGATGGCTGTGATGAAACACCATGACCAAAAGCAGCTTGAGGAGTATCTTAGGATTTCTACTACTGTGAAGAGACACCATGGCCATGGTGTCCTTCTGTACACTGTGAATATATATTACTCTCATTGGTTAATAAAATACTGACTGGCCATTAGCCAGGCAGGAAGTATAGGTGGGACAGCCAAACTGAGACTGCTGTGAGGGAAGAAGGGTGGAGTCAGTGGAAATACAGAAGGAGCAAGACAAGCTAGATGACAGGTAAAGCCGTGAGCCACGTGGCAATACATAGATTAATAGAAATGGGTTAATTTAAATGTAAGAGCTAGTTAGTAATAAGCCTGAGCTATTGTCCGAACATTTGTAATTAATATAAGCTTCATTGTGTTCATTTGGGAGCTGCCGGTGGGATAGAAACTTCCACCTACACCATGGCAATTCTTATAAAGAAAAACATTTAATTGGGGTGGTTCACTTACAGTTCAGAGGTGTAGTCTATTATCGTCATGGGAGGACACAGCAGCATTTAGGCAGACATGGTGCTGGAAAAGGAGCTGAGTATTCTTACATCTTGACCTGCAGGCAACAGGAGGTGGTCTGAGATACTGGGCTTGGCTTGTGTTGTAAAATGGCACACTGTGGCCTTGGTGGGTTTGAGCCAAGGTACCCCGAGGTGGGTGAGGGAGACACACCATGCAGACATGGTGGCATCTGAGTGGCGTGGGACAATGTTACTCACATCATGCAGACATGGCATCCACATGGAAAGTTTTATTATTAAAGAGAAGAGGAGAAGGAAGAGAGAGAAAGAGGGAGAGAGAGAAAAAGAGAGGAAGAGGAGTTAATGCAGCTTCATGGAAGGAGAGAGGAAGGGAGAGGCTTTCTCTTAAAGGGGCCTTTACGTAAGATGATATCAGGATGCTGGGCAGGTCCCCAAGGGGTGTGCCAGAATGCTAACATTCCCTAACAGCTTGAGCATATATGAGACCTCAAAACCCACCCCCACAGTGACACACTTCCTCCAACAAGGCCACACCTATTCCAACAAGGCCACACCTCCTAATAGTGCCACTCCCTATGAGCTTATGGGGGCCAATTACATTCAGACTACCACAAGGAGGAAAGGGTTTATTTGGCTTACATATCCCAAATCACATTCTACTGAGCAAAGTCAAGATAAGAACTCAAACGAGGCAGGAACCTGGAGGCAGGAGCTAATGCAGAGGCCATAAAGGGGTGCTGCTTACTAGCTTGCTCCTCATGGCTTGCTCAGCCCATTCTCTTATAGAACCCAGGACCATTAGCCCAGGGTTGTTCCCAACCGTAATAGGCTGGATATTCATCCATCAGTCACTAATTAAGAAAATGCCCTACACCAGTGGTTCCCAACCTTCCTAATGCTGTGACCCTTTAAATACAGTTCCTCATGTTGTGGTGACCCCCAACCATAAAATTTTGTTGCTACTTCATACCTGTAATTTTGCTACTGTTACGAATTGAAATATGAATATCTGTGCTTTCCAATGTTCTCAGGCGATCCCTGTGAAATGAGCATTCTACCCCCTCCCCCACAGGGGGTCATGACCCCACAGGTTGAGAACCTATGACCTCCAGGCTTGTCTACAACCTGATCTTATGGAGGCATTTTTTCCCCCACTTGAGGTTTTCTCCACTCAGATGACTTCAGTTTGTGTAAAATTAAGATAAATCTAGCCAGGACACCCACCATTCCAACTGTGGATGGCAGATTATGAGCAAGCTAAAACAAAAAAAAAGAAGCCCTAACAATAAAATTAGACTGTTTTAATGGCAAGAATATTTTTCCTCAAAGGACAGCATTAAAAGAATCAAAAGGAAATTGGAAGGGGAAGAATATTTTCAATAAATGTAGACAAATATTCAAGATATTAAATGTAACAAAATGTAACACTTTTTTACTTTTTTGAAGCAGGGTCTCACTATGTATCTCCAGCTGTTCTGGATCTCACTCTGTAGCCCAGGCTGACCTCGAACTCACAGAGATCCGCCTGGCTCTGCCTCCTGAGTGCTGGGATTAAAGGCGTGCTCTACTATGCCTGTCTTAGCACCTTTGTTTTCAATATTATTTTAATTGCATTTGTTTATTCATTTATTTAGTTCATGTGCACATGCATGCCTGTGCATACGTGTACTTGTACATGCATGTGTGCCATAGCATGAATGTGAAGGTCTGAGGACACCTTCCAGGAGTTGGCTCTCTCCTTTTACCCTGTGGGTCCCTGGGATCAAACTCCGATTGTCGGGCTTGGCACCCACTGAGCCCACTTGTGGGCCCTCTTCGGTGTTTTCAGATGGGTTCTCAGTCCAAAGTCCTCACCGCACCCCCTTATGGCTTCAGATTTGAGATCCTCCTTCTTTAACCACCCAGCCCCAAGGTTCCAAGCTTATACCACATCCATCTTATAAAAGCATTGCAGAGCCAGGCAAGACAGTCCACACTTGTCATTCCAGCACTCAGGAGGCAGATCTCTGAGTTCAAGGCCAGCCTGGTCTACATAGTGAGTTCCAGGACAGCCACTCCTGCACAGAGAAACAACCACCACCAACAACAAAATGCACGTGTTAAGTTGGATAGAGAAAAGGTTGGAAATCTCATAAAGCCAGTGTCATAAACTATTAGCAACAGAATCTATATGGTAAATTTAAGGCATTTAATTTTATAAAATTATTTAAAAATTGTTGAATATTGAAGATGCTTTGTAGTCAAATTCCAGGAAGATACAAAACATTCAGGAAAAAATAGAGGAGGCACAAAAAAAAAAAAACATAGCAGATGCTTCACAAAGTTATTTCTGAGTAGCTAATAAGCAGATGGAAAAAGTGCTCAATGGGCTAGCATGGTAGTGAATGTCTGTACAGAGAAGGATCCACAGTCTTCAAGGCCAAGATCATTCCCAGCATGTGGGTAGATGGCACAGCAGAAAGACCCTTGCTGCCAAGCCTGATGACCTGAATTCCATCCCCACAACCCATAGGATAGGAGGATAGAGCCAACCCCATGGGGTTGTCCTCTGACCTCTACATGTGCACCATGGGACAACTTTTCCTTCCCCCTCCCCCCAAGAAAATGTTGTGTCTTGTTTTTTTTTTTTTTTAAGTTATCCTCAGTTACATGATGCATTCCAGGCCAGTCTGGGCTATATTGTCTCAGAATAAAAACAAACAAAATGAAATCACTCTACTTAATTATCACAGAGATGCAAATCAAAAAAAAAAAAAAAACATAGGCAATTCAATTATCACCCACCAAAATGGAAAAAAAAAAGTGTTGATGGGAACGTTGAACTTCAACTCCTATATGTTGCTGATGGGAGTGTAAATTAACGCAAACACTTCAGAAAACTTAAAAAAAAATCCAGTAAATCTGAACATGGCCATATCCTTGACCCAAGACTTCTATTTTTTGCATATGACCAAGAGATACACTTACCATGTATCATACTCAAAAGATGTCATTGTTATGGCCACAGAAGCAATATTTTATTTTAATAGTTTCAAAACGTAGATGACTCCAGTGGTCATCAACATTTGTCTGGATACATTTTTATTGCATTCACACAATGGAATGCAACACATCCTCATAAACAAACTATGAAAAATATGGGCGAACCTCACGACAGCAAGTTAAAGAAACCAGAAACAAAATGCATGTTGACATGTCTGGGCCTGTGTAAACACAAAGCTAATTCTTTACCAGAAGATAGGCTATGGTCCCCCTGGGTGGAGGAGAGTGATTAAGTGTCTGAGGGGAAACATTCCAGGATGCTGGTTATGTTTATGCCTGAGTGTGATTTGTTAGTGAAATTTCGACAAACTGCATTAATTTTCCGTGTATTTACCTGTCGTCTGTTATAGTGGAATAAAAAGTGTCTGCCAGAACCTCTAAGAAACAAGGGATCACAGGATTTGACATTTGAGAGACTCAGGTCGGATTTGAGAGACATGATCAGATTTGCATTAGGAAGAGATAAGTACAAGATCTGCAGGAGAGAGGCCTCACCAGACTGCTTGCAGGAGTAAGTAAGCCTGGCTGGATGTAAAGCAAGCACGACCCGGAAGAAAAGATTACCGTGGATGGGGAGACAGCAGGCATGATGGGACTTGCCTTCTTGTCTCCGAGTTCTTTCTTGAACAATGTTTATAACTGTCGGCTGGGTGCTACTTTAATGATCTAATGTTTAGTTGTAATTGCCATATTCCTCCCGCCCGCGAGATCAATGCCTCTTGTACAACTATACAGAACGAGATGCAAGTAGAGAGCTCAGAAGACTTCAAGAGAAATGAGTTGACAAGGTCTAGGCGGCCCATCTTCCTCCAAGCACAGGCAAAACCACCACCTGCTTGGGACTGGGTGATGGTAGGACACAGGACGTTAGGCCGACGGTAGGAAAGAGACAACAGGACCCGTCAGATCGGCGTGAAATGGGTCCGGGGAAACGGGACGCCTCTGTACCCTGAATTCCAACAGCAAGCTCAGGCCACGGTTATTTCCTTCTCCGGATGTCCACAGAGGGCCCGAACTCTGGCGAGGCGGGGATTCAGGCAGAAGGGGTGGAGTTGGGGCTTGAGCTTAACCTATTACATGCACCCAGAGCCTCCCCACCGGTGATTGGCAGGCGTGTCTACCAGTGTTTTCGCGTCCCGCGAACCTAGCTGCTGTTGTCAGGTCCCCGGGGTGTTTCCCTTTGAGTCACTGGGGTTAATTAACTAACCGCTCCCAGCTAGGGGACCTAAGAGTACTGCCATCTACCCCTGCCATGAAAAGGGAGCTTCTTGGTCCCATTGGAGTATTCTTTAGTGCCTGAGGCAGGGCTTGGTACCCTGGGTAAGGGAGTTAACTGCTCCCGATGTTCCCACTCATTCTCTAGCTCACGATTCTTTTTTTTTTTTTTTTTTTTTTTGCTTAAGTGGAATAAGGCGACATTTATAGTTTGAAGTGCCTTTCCCCGTGCAAACACTTATCGCAGTCCTTATCCCCTCCCTCAAAGGTAATGCGACCCCTCCAGTGAAGGACTATCAGCGCAGATCACATTCCTTCACTTAGCAAGTAACTTCAAATTATCTTATATTTAATATTGCAAGCCTTGAGTGAGAAGGTTCATAAAACATGAAAAGTGTTTCGAAGTGCTTATGCATTCCTGGTGAGAAAGTGGGGTAGTTGCCGGTTTGGTTTCAGCACCCACATGGCAGCCTCCAACTGTCTGGTTCCAGGAGACCCAGTGCCCTCGGGCAAGCATGAAGTACGTGCAGAGAAATCCTTCATACAATAAAAATAACTCTCCAGACTTTGACCTGGAAAAGGAAGTAAAAACGTTCAGAGCTTACAAAACGCTCTTTTTCAAAAGTGTTACATTCAACTCCAAATAAATGTATGCAGTATTTGCAGCGTGGGTTCCAAAGAACGAGAATTCTAGATACCCAGCCCCACACAGTGTATTATTCAGACTCCACTTTGTCAGGTACTTGAAAATTGATCATATTGATTGTCCCCCCATACCCACAGAAAAACTGTTAGCTTCAAACTAGCTCCTTCTTTTGTTTTCTTTCTTTCTTTCTTTCTTTCTTTCTTTCTTTCTTCCTTCCTTCCTTCCTTCCTTCCTTCCTTCC